AAACCACTTATTTGCTGATTGCATTATGGCAAATTCTCTTTGGAATGGTATTTTACATCTTTCTCTACTGTCTTTGCCTCATATGTCTTGGGAAAATAAGCTTACTTGGGCTTATTCAACTTAGAAAGGTAAATCTCTCTTAACCTCCATTATGAAGACTGCATGGAATGTTTTCATTTACAAAATATGGGAGGAGAGAAATAGATGCATATTTCAAGGGAAATCAAGAACTGTTGAAGACTTGCTTGATTCTATTAAAGATATTGTTGGTGCTCATCATAGGAATAGAGACTTTAATAGGTTTGACAATGTAAAAGGCTTCTTTGTAACAATTGGAACATAGGCTGATTTTGTTGTACAGTGATACTTTCCTTCTTTGAGATTTTGTATGAACCTTCATTTGGATAATAAAAAGCTTACTCATCCAAAAAAAAAAAATTACTGTGGGTTGTTTTGGCCAAAACTATACGGAAGTGGGGTTTGATAAGTAGTAGTTATTTGAACTTTTGGGATAATATCACATTTGATACCTACACTTTTAAAATATTTAATATAAAAAATCTTAATTATAATTTGATCATCGATCAGACAAAGACATTGCACTGGAATGGTTGTCTTGTAATGAAAAGAACCAAGATCTCAGTTATTATAGGTCTGATGCAAACGGGGTGGGAAGAAGTCAGTCTGTCCACATAATTAAAAAAATCTTTATATTTTCTTTTTATTGGAATTTGGAGTAATTGCTTATTGTTGGATGTTCTTCGCCTGGAGAATTTCCATGCAATTAGTGATTCTTGGTTAAATTACCGAAATATTTATATTTTATTATCAATTTTTTTTTAAAAGTTTTAATTGTTAAATCACAACCTGATTTTAAATTACCTGAAAGTTGAGTCAATGCCTTTCCATTTTCCAGTGTTCTTAGTCATGTAAAGCTAAACCTCAGTTCTTCAGTACTGGGAGGGACTGGTCTAGCATCACCGGCCTGATGAGAACTTTGGGTTGAACCCCAGAGTTCACATGATAAAGAGCCATCCGCTAGCTATTTCAGGCCTAAATTCTTGAAAATTCAGGTCCAGTCAATATGTCGGCCACTTTATTTTCCTCCCGTCGAGTATGTTGTATGAGTATGGTCCAGTCACGGTGATGGAGCTAGTCCAAATGTCATTTAAGAAGATGTGTCCCGCTAAAATTGTCCTTCAAAACCCGAATCGCCTCCGGACTATCTAACTAAAGAATAATTTGAAGTAATCCATCCTCCCAAGCATAAAATAAAGCTAAATAAACACCCCAAAACTGAACATCCAGCAGCGAACAAATGCCAATGAACTTTGCAAACTCAAAACACCACTCACCTAGATCGTTTCGAGCTACACCACCACACGTAACGTATCCATTCTCCTCGCATCTCGACCCATCTGAATTAATTTTAAGTTGACATAATGATAAAATTGTTAAATTCTGCCACTGGTTAGTTTGGTTGTTTAGGTAACTATATGGTTATGTATTTGTAATGAGTGATGTAGTTTGTAATTAGTGCTTTTGTCGGAACTAAACTAGATGATTCAGTGCTTCAAATTTAATCTTTAATATCAAACCAACCCTTGCAATTCACTTTTGAACTCAATCATCTAAGTTCTAATCTTAATGCAAATAAAGGGGTGTCCATTACATTAACAATTTTGTAATATCTAAGCTTCAGGTGTGTCAGAGGATGAAAGAGACGAGGATTTACCTTTGATGTCGTTGAAATGATGAGCTCAACATATAAACAAGTAGGATGGATCGAGGGGACGGGTGGGAGTAATGACTCTCCTAAAATTTTAAAATTACCTTATATTTTAGATTTTGTTAATGTATTTTCTATTGAAAATTTATTTTTATCCTCTCTGAAATTTTATAAGTCTAAGGGGCTGTTTGTTTACTTCAGAATGATTAAGTGCTGAATGATTCAGAGGCTCTGAATGGTTTGGCTCTGAATGTGACATGTTGTTTGATAACTGGCTCTGAATGATTCAGAATGTACTTATGTGTTGAATCATTAAGCACTGTTTTGCTGAATCAGTCAGCACTGAATCATTTTAGAGGTACGAAACAAACACGCTGAATGTTGAACAGTTCAACATTCAGCGCTGAATGGTTTCATTAAAAGGCAAACAAACAACCCCTAAGTTCGTCTCCAAAATTTTATAAATTCCAGTTTGCTCTCTTTACATAAAATTCTACGTCATCCCGGGAGAGAAGAGATAACATGATATGCAATAGAGATAATTGAGAAAACATAAAGGTAGAGAAATGGAATCACATGCCATAATATATATATGTATGTGAGAGAGCTTTAAGTAAAACAAAGAAGATAGGTATTGCTGCTCCACCTGCTACATGTTTACTTATAAATGTGAAATATGTAGCTGCCTTTTGTTGGTAATATTGACTGCAAAATCACCGTTAGCACTGATTGGAAAATAAATAAATAATTCAAATCAACCGAAACTGTATCGTGGTAAAAATGATTGCCTTAGAAACAAATTCGCCCCAATGTGTGTAATCACTCCAATAGGCGGATCGTCCCCCGAGGTTAGCACGGTCGCTCCAAATTTCGTACATCCGAAACCGGAGTGGACTGCTCGTGGTACTGCTCCTCTGATCGCCGGAAAGACTCAAAAGCTTAGAAAGCTTTGAGAAAGTTTAGAGATGTTTGAGTGAATCGTGGGATAAGTTGAGAAGTCAAATGAGCTCTCTATTTATAGGATGTGTCCAGGGTAAAAACATCCAAAAAAAATCAAAATTAAAATTCTGATTTAATTCTAGAAATTTAAACATTTGTAACTCCTGATATTAATCATATGAAACTGCTGAAATACACAGTGAACCTGGCCCTCAGAATGTCCATATTCATTATGTAAAATTCAGCCCATTTGTAACTCCATAAATAAATTTCTGTAACTCTTGTAACCGGCCCATTAACAATTTGTACCTTATCTTGAACAATTCAGGTTCATCCAAACGTTTCTCTAATTAATATTAAAAGTTGATCATTTGAATTATTATTTCAAAAATTAGAAATCAATACCAGCTGTTACTCTATGAAATTATAGAATTCAAACAGACCTCTTGGACACACCCTATAAATACAAGAAGAAATGTTTGTTCACAATCATTTCTTTTGTTATGTGAAAATTCCTTATGAATATGTATTGCCTTGACCTTGACCACGGGACGGACGGACGGCAGCACGCGAAAAGCCCCCTTATTCTCTATCACTCAACAAAAAAGTGAAGAATGAAAGCCTTAAATATCTAATCTCAATGTATTTACTCACTCAATATGAGATTGAGCATTACTAACACGTGTTGTCCATTTCTCAACCCTCTTCCTACACCTCTCAACCCACCCTATGAGATCAAGCGATGAAAAGTTTTTAAACATTTGTTAAAGAAATTTTATTTCAAGTCAGTGAATAAAAAATTTTAAGTGATAGGACAAAGAATGTTAGATTTTACGACATGTTTACTTAAAGAAATTATATTTCAAGTCGGTTCGTGCGCATAGCCAAGTCTTGTTGCTCAAACAAGGAGGCATTGACCAGGAAGCACAAAAAGAAAGCAGAACTAGAGGCTTTAGGGTTTTCTCTCAGCTTGGAATTGCTGTTTTGATTCGGAATGCAGCTTGTAGTTAGATCTGAGACTTTAATTGGAGGGTGTTGTATTCCCAATGGAGCTGGAAAACATTGGTAGCATCTTATAAGCCATGGGTTTAGTTTTAGGTGGAACATGGAGCTATGTTTCAGGGTTACGAGGTAAAATCTTTTTTAGCTTTGGTCAACACGTGGGTAAGTCAAAAGTGGTGAGTTTAATTATGGACTAACCCAGTCTCCTTTGGGCTACTGTGTTTAGGTGCTATTTCTACGTAGACCTTGTTGGGTCAGTCACCATTTTGCATTTAGATATGACTAAGATCCCGCCTCACTTTCACCGCTTGTATTCTTCTTGTTGTGTGAGCAATAATACACATTATCTTCGTTAGAAGTTAATGGGCCTCTCAAGACTTGATTTGCATTTTCGAGACCAAATTTTTTGTGTTTGGGGACATGAGTTCAAATAGTGCATATTTGTGGGATTTTAGCATATATGTGAACTCAAACGAGTTATATTTTAGTGTAATTAATGGTGATGTTAATATGTTATAATTGGTAATATCGCATTAGTATTAGAAAAAAATATCACATCAGTATCATTGTTACTTTTTAACTTAAGGATCACCTTTATTCAAGTAGTAGACCTAATTTATCATTTTTACCCTTATCGTATTTTTGCATCAATTTAGCCCTCAAAATTATTTAATTGCATCATTTTATATATCATCCTTAACTTAAAACCCTAAATTAGGATTTAAGGTTTATTGTTTAGAGGTTATGGGTTTAAGGTTTTAAGTTATGGATAATGTATAAAATGATGCAATTAAGCAACTTTGAGGGTTCAACTGATGTGAAAATATGATAAGAGTGAAAGTGATAAATTAAGTCTACTACATAGGTAAAAGTTACTATTTTGACTTACTTTTTTTAACATATGGTAATCAAAACACATAATGTTAGATACAATTTTAAAAAAATAATCATTAGATGACAAACAAATAAATTAAATAATACGTGGATGATCGAATAAAGAAATTATTCTTAATTTTTTATGTATACCTCGAATTTTAATTTTAATATTTCCATCTCGTTTTATTAGCTCTATTCTAAATCTGTAATAAAAGGAACAAAGATTCACTACAACCAAAATCAAAGTCACTTCAACATCAAAGTCATTCATGTCCGATTCCCATTTTCATGTCCCCTTAAAATTTTCAAAATCAAAATCAAATGCATTTTATGGCAACCCTTCCTTCGTAAATAAGCCCACAATCTTCCCATTGTACCCATTCCATGAAATGTAACATCGCAACAATGAAAGTACACGGTTCCCAATTTCCAACAGCAAAAATAAATACATTAACCTAAACATTACCCGACATCTCTAATTTTACCTACGTAGCAAATTAAGTAAAAAAAAAAAAAGCATGTCTTGGTTGGTTTTTAGTTCTTCAAAGGAAGGAATTCGAAAAACTGGCAGTTAGGACCGAGGTTGTCGATTGTGTGCACGGTTGTGACCGATATCTCGTTCTTCTTTTCCTTGGAGTTATCGGAACGAAGAGGGAAGAGTTGTAGGGTTTGAGAGTCGACAGCTTCATGGCTGAAGTGGTCAAGCACGTTTGCATTTTGCCTGCAAGGGGATTTAAAGATGTTGAGATCACGCGTCTTGAAAATGTGGTGGTGCTTTGGGTCCATTGGTCTGATCGCGCAGACGGTGGGGTTGGCGGTGGTCGCAGTGCTAATCGCTGCCGTGGGCGTAGTGGAGCTAAGACCAGTACCCGGGCTAGGAGTAGGACTAGGAGGGTAAGGGAATTGCATCTTATGCTGCTGCCACGTGTCATTCCTATCCACAAAGTTTCTCCTCTGCTGTAATTCCCCTTCCTCGAATTGGAACCATCCATCTGCCCTACACTCTGACACTGTTGCCTTTGCTGCCATTTTTATTGATACAGATTCCTGCTGACAGTAGTAAATAGTATAAATGCCATAATAAAAATATAAAATTTAAACTATCTAATAATAATCCGTGAAATAATAACATAATAAATATCTCTTATGGCCATGGACAAATCATCACTAACATATGAACATAATACATTTAACCAACACGTAATACCAAACTGAAAACTGTATATACGGTGACATAAGTCTGGGGACACTTCTATTTTATTAGGAGGACAGGTTTTTCATTCCATTCAAATCAAAGAACAAATGGTTCAAAGCTGATATAGGCTGTATGAGATGACAAATTGTACTATTGGGGTGAGCCCAAGTCTTTTCACTGTCAGCCTGGACAATATATATATATATATATATATGGATTTGGAGGGAGGGTGATGGTGCTCAAATCAATATCTAGCCTGAATGCCATGAATGCATATCGAGCACAACACCCAAAAAAACTCGCTAGTTTGATAACAGCAGCCCCGGCAGAAGGAAGGAATGCAGCTTTTAAGCCCCTTTCGTTTCCCAACAATTCAAGACCTTTTCTTCTTCCTTCGGATATTATATATATATATATATATATATATATACACACAGAGAGAGATTCATATAAAGCCTTGACTCTAATCCTCATTAATGTTAATGTAATATCCGGTATTGAGAACTGATTAGGGTTCCTGATAACATAATTATAAGTATTGCTATGAAAATGCTGCATGGACGTGTGTATATTGACTATGGGGAAAGACAAAGGAAGCAAAAGGTGAAGAAAAGAAAGGGAATGGAATGGAGATAGATATAGACCTCTGCTAGTGTACTGCAGTTTGTAGAGAGTGCCCAGTTTTTGGTCTGTTCGACTTCATAAGTTGTCCTATTCGTTTCTGCAGACACATAAACAAAGACCAAAAAGAATTCAACTTTACACATGCATATGATATGCAAAAGATGAACATTACTGTATGTATGTGCCTTGTCTATTTGCCAATGGATAAACTTTAACACGATTCTTTTACGAGTAGTTTATATACCTGAATCCTTTCGTTCCAAGGAGTCGGGTTTGCGTATGTGTTCATCTTGAGTTGATTCCTTTTGCCGGCGCCGTTTTTGGCGTTCCCTTGCCTTGTGGTTCTGGAACCAATAGAACACGTTCTTCCCTTCGATCTTACCATATCTACGGAGCTGCGCTGTTATATGCTGAATTTGATCAGCCGATGGGGTTCGAGTGCCTCGTCTGTAAAGCTCTTCAAGTGTTCTTAGCTGTTCCGGCGTTGGATTCCACCTCGAGCTCACCACAACTGCTGGTTGTGTATTGAACTCCCTCTTGTTTTGGTCCCCCATACCTGCGAAATAAACGATACAACATTTGGCACCACGGCATGCATATATAACCATGAAAACCATGAAGAAGAAGAAGAAAACGTACTTAGTTGATGATTCAGTGCAAAAAAGTCGGAGCGCTCATCATTGTTAGGAGAAGATATCGGTCGAGGGATTAAAGGCCTGAGCTTCCTACCATTGAAGGAAGCAGGCATGTTGAACTCGGCACCATCATTGTAACCCATCATCCACATCTTCGCCAACAGTAATATAGTTCTAGGGTTTAATTAAAAGAAAAGGGATTAAATGAGCTCTCACACTCACTCACGCAGTCACTTTCGTTGCCGTGAAATGATAAAAGGGGTTTATGAAACGGTGGCGAAATTCTAGAAAAAGGGAAATGAACTAACGAAGCATGCGAAGTTTAGCAATGGCGATGATGATGATGATGATGAGGTTCAAAAGAAAAGTAAAAGAAAAACCCTAGTTTTTGAAAAACATGGACTTGTTGTTGACATATAAGAAGGAATGAAAGAAAAGGGGTGGAGAGTTTGAGGAGAAAGGGATGGGTGAGAGAAAGCAAAGAGGAAAGAGAGGAGTTGTTTGAAGAAGGAAGGAAGATGAGGTTGACTAATGACTATGTATGTATGTATGAGGCACACACACACAGGCTGTTGGCAATTGGAAGAAGATGATGAGAGGACAAAAGGGCTAAAAAGAAAAGGCAAAGATAGAGAGAGAAGGAAGCGTGGAATTCTGGGAGGGATTTGGGGAGTGGTGAAAGAAAAACGACGTGACAATGATGAGGGTTATCATAAGGCTCATCACACCTCTCTTTCATTTATTGTTCGCCTCATGTCCTCTCCCTTTCATTCATATTCTCAATCCAAACTGCCCCTCTTCCTTGCCTTGTTCTCGGTCTATATCTCTCCCCTTGCATATACATGTATATGCATGTACCTATGCATTCATACATGTAGCATTTACATCATTTTTCCGCACATTTCAAAAAAATCAAATTGACCCTTTTATTATTTTTCATCTGAATGTGACATTTCAACTCAAAAAAAAAGTTCAATGTAACACTTTGACCAATGATTTTCATCATTGACCATTATAGTGTTGATGTGGTAGTTCACGATGTTAACGTAGCAGTCCACGGTGCTGATGTGGTAGTCCATCTGTCATGTTTGGGTTACTAATTTAGCTCATCTATCTTATAATTCGTCATGTTATAAACCCCGTAGACTGTCACGTCAGCATTGAAACGATCATCACAAAAAATATTGGTCAAAGGGTCACATTTGATTTATTTTCTGAATTGAAAGACTACATTGAAAAAATATAATACGATAATCTCATTATTTTTTTTCAAAAATACATAAATCTCCGATGCCTTGTTTTGCCTTCTTTTTCTTAAACATTATAATATTAACATGTACAAACAAGCTATTAACGTAGTAATAAGGTATGTTGAATTCACAAGGTGAGAATTAAAATTTTAAATTTTAGAGATGACATTGTTAGAAAATATAGTCCTGAATTGTGAACCTAAAAACATACAATAAACCCTAGTTTTTTAAATGGGTATCTTTTATTACACACTAAAATTTAGGAGAAGAAAGAGAGTCAATAGTGTTTGATTTTACTCGTATGTTTTAAACAAGAAATGATGAAATAGCTATGTGTACGTGTAAAACAAAAAAAAAAAGTTACCAATCGGTGAATGCGCATGCGCATGCAGACATGCAAACAAGACATGAAAGCAAAACTGTGGTGTGAGATGTCATACATATCCAAACAAATAAAAAAATATATATTTTTTTGTTCCTTCATCTGTTTGCATTGAAAACTATACATACATACATACTATCCGAGTACTGCTTAGTGAGAGTTGGCTCGTGCATATCCTGAAATTCGAAGTTTCATCTATTAGTTACTTATTTTATTGATGATATTCATCCTGAAATATGAGTTTTTTCGATTTGTTACTTATTTTACGGACGGAATTCATCATAAAATTTTATGTTGTTAACGTATATGTCCCCATCCTAAAAAAAATTATATCTAAGGAGTATTTGGTACCATAGTTGTCTTTAGCATGTATACATATACATTGCATGGGATAGTTCATGTACTATTTTACAGTGTTGAAAGTTGTTTTTGGAATCTTCCTTGTGCTTTTGATTTTTGGGTTGCAAAATCCCACCATACAAAAAGTTTATATTTTTCTTCGACGATGTATGGGGTTTAGCCCATCGATAATTATGATGAAATGATTTGAATTTCTTCAGTTATGGGGTACCCTGTTACCCCTCCCTTTATAAATCCCCGGAAATTCTTCATTATTGAATATTGATTAATTATTGATTGTTTCTGTACGATAGTGACTTAGCAAATTCTCTCTCTATATATAATTAAGTATAACCTTTTTGTATATGATTGAACACTTGGGGTGTACCTATTTTGGGTTTGTTATTTAAACTAAGATTTCCTATCATATAATAATTTATTAGGAACAAAATAAATAAAATATAATATACTCGTATTTTAAGGCTAGTATTTAAAATTTGGTCTTGGTGAGTTCGTCCCAAAGGAAAAGTTATGAATATAGGCATATTTTAAGGATTTAGCCTTTAAGCCATGAATCGTCGTTGTCGGTTTCCACTTTATTGACTCTCTTCTCCGTATGAAAACACAGTTTCAACACAAAATCTGCTGACAAATTCATTATTCACAAATCAATGAACCATTATTACGACCTTTCTCCTATGGAAGGTGAAGGAACGTTAATCGAGCGTTGTAGTCGACTTGTCCAACTAATGCTTCAGGCCCGACTAGAGGAAAAACCGTCGGTCACTACAAATACTAGAATTCACCGCGGCCATTCTCATTGGATGTTGCCTCCGGCCCCATGGATTAAGCTCAACACTGGTGTCACTCGGAGAGAGACTGATTGTTATGCTCGGTGTGACGGAATTGCTAGAGACAATGCTGTTAATTGGTTATTCGGATTTTCCAAGTTTATTGGAGCTTGCTCGGTGATTGATGCTAAGTTGTGTGGTGTTTATGTTGGGCTAAATCTTGCCTGGGATGCGGGATTTCGTCAGGTTATTCTCGAGCTTGACAGCATGGAAGATTTAAACATTCTTAGGTCAGATTACAATGGAGCACACTCATTAGATTGGCATCTTAATGAGTCGAAATGTAATTGGTGCGTTAAAATTCAACATGTGATGCTTTGGCTAAAGATGTTTCTTTTGACAACTTCGACCCTACTATATTCGCTTCCCCTCCGTGCTCGATCGCCGAACTTTTGCTTGAAGAATGATGGAAACAAATTCTGTTAATGGTTAAGTACGTTGGTCGGCTTTTGTAGATTAATACATGTACTCTTTTCCTCCATCTAAGTTAGTGAGGTTTTTAATGACACATATGTTAATGCTTTACCTTGTAAAATTCTCTTGTTTTTTGAAATCATACCTTTCACTGAAAAAAAAGAGAAAATATATATTAAATAAATTATAGTTTCTTTTACTATTGTTCATAAAAAATATAAAGAAAAAATCTGAAAAAATAAGAGAACTATAAATTTCTAAGGGTATGACCGCGTTCTAGCAGCTCCTCGGTCCATCCCTGCTCTCCAGCTTTGGTCCTTACCAGCTTTGCCTTCCACCCGACAACAATATCGTCATAGCCTTCCTAAAAATTGGAACTCAAGAAAGAATTAAGGACTATTTTGTAATAGTTTGATAAGTTTAATGACCGAAGCGAACATTTTGACATAGTTCAATGACCTATAGTACTTTACCCAAGAAACAAACAGATTATCAAAATGATGATGAAAGCTCACTTGTGAAGAGTCTGATGTCGATTATAAAACCCAAAGCCTAATGGAGACATACATGGATATAACTATTTTGGGCCCAATGGAGACAATTTGACGAATTCTATTACTTTACTATTGAAATCTCGGCCACCCAACCCATATTTACCAATGGGTAATTTTGACCCATTACGGCAGTCCAGAAAAAAAAATTAGGGAATTAGTAATTTGACTTTTAATTTGGACTTTACGACATGACATTTGTTATAGTGTATGAAACTCGTTATCTCGAAGTGACGAGTTATAATAAAAAATTTATATATTTTTAAACTTTTACCTCATGATGTGATAAAAATTAATAAAAAAATTATATTAAATTAGAACTCGTCACCTCAATGTGATAAATTTGAATAAAAAAATATTATTTGGGTGAACTCGTCACCTCAACGTGACCAATTCGTTAAACATTGTAGCAAATGCCGTAGATTCCAAATTAAAAAAGTTCATGTGCCCTAGTATCTTAAATTTTTTCTAAGTGCGGTATTGAGCCAATTTCACTCCCGACCGATGAGCTTCACATTCTTATCCTTCTATTTAATAGGAACCCAACCCGTATTTGAATTTATTTTGAATTAATCACTTATATTTGATCTATTGATTAATTAATTAAGATCGGATTTTTAGAGGTGAGGGTGACCCTCCAAACTCAGTTTACTCCATTTGTACATCAAGGTTCAAACCATTTGACAATGAACGCTCAATCACCCTGCTGTAACTGGCGATGTTCGTACTCGTGACCTTTATGAACAACAACGATTCTTTTAACCCCTGAAGTAAGTTGGATTGATGAGGTATTAGATTAGTCTATCTTAATTTGATCATAAATTAAAGCTTCCTAGTTATGCATCAAAGTTTGAGTGCATGCTTGTAAGTTGTGGTCGTGGGCCTTTCCCACTAGGTTTTGCCTCTCTTTCTTTTTTTCGTTTCCTTCCGGTGAGAATTACATATATCATTAGTCAAGATTAATTTTAATGCATATCCTTGCCGGAAACGACGGCCAAAATACTCTCAAGTGTAAAACAGTCAAAAGCTTGATGACAAAAAAGGTTTTGGGACTCTCAAGATGATATGGAGGGACATGTTTTAAATTAATCCTTCTGATTTTCCCTTTTTACATTTTAAGAATCTTTTGAAGATTTACTATGGTTCCACCCATTTGCTATTCTGATTCTCTCTAGTTACTTATTGACAAAGACAATAGATATGGGATACCATTATTATCCATGCTCTTTGTCTTCATTTCTCAAGACGGAGTCAAAACTAAATAATGAGAATTTGGATGAGGGAGGAGGTCACTGACTGGGTAAATGTTACTGTTGGATGGATATGGAATGAGACCAGGGAGAAGAATGTGAAGGTTGTCTTGTGTGGTAAAAACT